AAAAAAAGGAAAATCCCAAAAAGCAGACACCGCCGAGCCCAATGGAAGCTCACCTGTAACTACCTTGCTAGCTAGCCAAGAACAGACCAGACCCACCTCTGCTCCAAAGGAAATCCAAAAACCAGACAGATCCAAACGTCTCTCCACTGCCAAAGTTCGTTTCGTTCTGTTGCTGCCCGCTCCGACGCTGCCCCGTCCTCACAGCTCCGCTCACGGAAGGACGGACGGACGCACCGGGGGTTGGAAGAGTTTCTATAACCATAAAGCAAAAAAAAAAAAAAAAAAAAAAAAAAAAAAAAAAGAATCTTTTTTTTTTTTTTTTAAGAAAACAACAAAACAAAAAGCAAAAAAAAAAACAAAAACAAAAAAACAACAACAAAAAATACAACCTGACGAAAGAAAGACGCAGCGCTCCCCACGTGGCACTGGGCTGCAGCCCAACGCCGGAGATGGGAATGGCGCAAGGGATGGACCCGTGTGTGCCCAACCTGCTCCCTACATTGGATATTTTGGGGTTTAATGCAACGATTTCCAGGAGGGAAGGAGAAAAAGAAAGAAAGCAGCACCTCCCCCAGGAGGCGGACAAAGACATGTGGGTGATTTTGTATATCTCGCAGCATTGTACAAAGCGTGGAGGACGGAGTGCAATACAGAAAGTGCGCGGCTCCGGGAGGAGGGACCCAGTGCTGCACCTTCACAGGAATGTAAATAGCGTCTGCAGAGGTCCAAAAAGCATCGTAACGATGGTGATGGTGATGAGAAGAGACATTTGCCAAATAAAGGATGATGATCCACACGGGAGGATGTGGCGTGTAGGAGCTTAGGCTGAACCGTGAAGCAGAAGTCATGTGCTCGATAGGAGCTTTAGTTTTCCGGATTTGCAAAAACCCATCCCGTGTGTTTTCTGTAGGCAGGGGAGGAGGAGGGGGTCAGGCTGCTCTGGTTGTGGTGCTGAGGGGCTGCCCCGGTTGTGCCATGGCGTGCCATGCCCTAACATGATGTGCCATGGTGTGCCATGCCATGCCGTGCCATGACGTGCCGCTGTGTGCCATGGTATCCCATGCCATAGCGTGTCATGTGCTATGGCGTGCCGTGCCGTGGTGTGCCATACCATTATGTGCCACGCCATGCCATGGTGTGCCATAATATGCCACATCATGCTGTGGTGTGCTGTGCCATGGTGAGCCATGCTGTGGATGCCATGGTGCGCCAAGCCATGCCATGGTGCGCCATGCTGCAGATGCCATGCTGTGCCATGCTGTGCTGTGCCATGCCGTGGTGCCCCATGCCATACCGTGCCACAGCATGGTGCCATCTCCCACCCCCAGCCCCACTGCCAGTCTGTGTGCACCCCAACACCCCGTGCCGGGGACTGCGCCGGGGACCCCTCGCGTGACTGTTCACTTTATTTATGGTGTGACATATGTAATATTGTCTATTTTTCTTACGTTTCCTGAGAAGAGGTAATATATAAGAGTCTTGCAGGTGCTCCCACTGGGGCTGCCTGCTCCCTGGGTGTCCGTCCCCCCCCTGACCCCGTGTGCCCCCTCCCCACCCTGCGCCGGGGCTCTGCCTCTCTACCTCCGCCTCACCGGGAAACAGCGGACGGGAGCACTTACACAGAGTCTGCTCTCGTTTCCACTCCTTTCTGTTTTGCTTTTTTTTTTTTTTTTATTAACATTTTTTAATTATTTTTTTCCTTTTTTTTTTTTTTGTAACAATAAAAATACCCTAACGAACCTTGCATCGAAACCAAAAGCCGAGGGAGGGAGGGAGGGGAGGAGGGAGGGGAGGGGATGGGCGGTGCGGACGTCCATACCAGAATGACAGCTTTAAAGTGTGATATTTCCCAAATATAACAATGCTGGGAGGACGGCGGCCGCGGGGGTGGCGGAGCAGCTTCTGTAGGGTTCTGCTCCAATCTGGGGTGCTTCTGTAGGGTTCCATTCCAAACCGGTGCTGGGATGTGCATGGGGACAGGGAGGCATGCCCCATGCGATGCCTTGGTTGTGTCCTTTGATGGCTTTGTGGCACCCGGGAGGTGGCAGATGGCTGTGCCATGTGCTCCTGGTGCAACTGCATGGCTTAGGGACATCCTGAGTGCTGCTTGGGGTTGCAGGGTGCCCTGTGCCAGCTGACGTCCGTGCAGCCACCTGCTCCCATTTTGGGTATCCCCATGTGGTGGCTGTAGTGAGGTTCATGGCATGGGGACATCCCACCCGAGGTCCCTGACGGGCAGAGCTGTGCTTTGGGGTGCAGGAGGTGGCACAGCAATGCCTCATCCCAGCCCCCAGCGCTGCACCGGGGCCATGCATCCCCCACCCAAAAACCCACGTGAAACCAAAGTGCCGCCTCCCAGCAATGCTTCCAGGACCCCAAACCTCCCCAGGCAGCCCCCAACGGTGTCACCACCACCCCTAGCCCATATCCTCAGAGCATCCCCTGCTCCTCACCTGGCTTTGGGGATGGGACATCATCCATAGCAGCTCTCCTCGGGGACCCCTCTGATGCCAGCCAAAGGCACAGCACCGGGAGGGTGGTGTCGTGCTGCTGTCCCTCCAGCCCCAGCAGTTCTGCACCAGCCGTGGGGATGGGGACAGCGGGGGTCCCCAGGGCTGGGGGCTGAGGGCAGAGCTCTGGTAGTGGTTTTGGGGCCAGCACAGAGAGATGACTTGGTAGGACTTTCCTTCGGCATGCTGTCCCTCCCCCCACCTCGTGCTGTTCCCCGCTTTCTCTTCGTGTACTGTATGTTCGATCTGTGAAAGATGTAAACTTTATGATTCAGGTTCTGTCTGTTCTTATCTCTGTATCTGTGTAATAAAAGATGATTTAATATCAACCCGAGGTCTTCGCAGCCTGGGTGTGTGCCGGGTGCCCTGCACCCTCTGCTCCCAGTCTGGGGGGGTCGGGAAATTCCCGTGAGCATCACAGCTGGGGGCACTGCTTGTTGTTCCCCACTATCTGCCCTCCCTCTGGGCAGCCAGAACAGCAGCGGGGTGGAGGACCCTGCCCAGATTCACACGCGAAGCGGTGGCCGACGCCGGGTCTCGAACTCGCGTCCCCAAGTCCGAGCCCGGGGCGGGTCCGCCTCCCGCCCTGCCAGCAGAGGGCGGAGCCCTGCTGTGATTGGCTGCTGATGTCTGAAAGCGGCGCTCCGGCGGGAAAGGCGCACGTGGCGGTGGTGGGTCAGCGTGCGGCGCTGCTTTGCTGGCGTCGGGCGGCTCTGCGCAAAGAAAGCAGCATGTTTGCGGGCAAGGCGAGGTGGGCCTGCGTGGTGGGCGTGGGGATGCAGCTGGTGGGGGGCACTGCGGCTGCCCAGCGCTCTCAGAGCCGAGGGTTCGTCCCTGAGTTGGGAAGCTGTGAGCTTGCTCTTGCTGGTTTGGGGCAGCGTGCCCTGCTGCTTTCTCTCTTTGTTCTCTGCTGTCCTGCCACACGTGAGGCTGGTGCTTGATCCTGGCCTTTTGACTCAAAGGAAGCTCCCTTCTGTGGTTTTCTGAGCTGGGCAGTGACAGTGAACCAGAGAGCTCTCAGTAGCGCTTATTGCTGCAAGAGAGGCTTTGTTGCAAGCCTACCTGCAGAATCAAGAGCAAACAGCTTTGGAGGTGTTGCTTTTCCTTTTGCTGGAAGCTAGCCCTAACAAGCTCTACCTGGTTAACATCCTGCTTTTGTTTTTGTGTTAAATGGCTGTTTGTTGAGTTACTTCTTGCCCCTATTTTGCCCAGCCCTCTCTTCTTGGACTCCTCTGGGATCTGGTGGCAGGACCCAGCATCCATGGCAGCAGGGGAGGCGTCCTGGGATGTGCCGGAGGTGGCAGCTCTGCAGAGGGCTGCAGATGATGACTCGGACCACAGCCACCCAGAGGAGGACAGCTTGGAGGAGCTGGGTGTGCAGGACCCTGTGAGTGGCTGGATGTGGGATCAGTTCTCCCCTTTTCTATATGGAAATAGGAAGCCTCCTACATCTCTCTTTAAGTGTTTCAAAAAATTAAGAGTGATTTTGGGCTCCTGTGGTTAAAATCCCTGAGCTGAGAAGCAGGAAATTGAATAGTCACTCTCCTGCTGTTTGCCTCTCCCTGTTCAGGTGTCTGCTTGGCTGGGCTGAAGTCAATGGCTCCTGCTCACCACTAGCTTCAATCTCTGGTTCCCTCTGGCATTTCTGCTGCTGGGACACCACTGTTGCAGCACTGCTTCATGGGCGAGGAAGGAAATGTTAACTGGTTTTTCTCACTAGTGGAGCTGGGAGCTGAACTCCCTTTACTTGAGGCTGTTGTCCCCTGTCCCTAGCCTGGGAGCCCATTGCTGCAGCACAAGGTGGGGAGTGGGTCTGTACCATGTGCTGCTTGCACAAGCTGTGGTTTGAGTTCCAGGAGCTGGAGGCCATCAAAGCCAGAGTGCGGGAGATGGAGGAGGAGGATAAGAAGCTGAAGGAGCTGCAGCTGGAGGCTGAGAGCTGCCTCCTCATGGGCTCAGAGGCAGGTATGGGCTGTCCCTGGGTTCTGCTGCATTTCCCAGGATCATGGGGTGGCAGTGGGGCTGGGGTGTGCTGCTGTGCCCCTATGGGCAGCCCCACACCAGCTGGGACCAGGCATCTGATGTGGGGGAGGGAGAAGGTGCCAGGCACAGCGTGGTGCTGTCACATGTTTTATCCACCTCCCACCTTCGAG